AAAAATATTACGGAAATATTACTGTGATATTATATATATTACGTGTTATGTGGGTAGTTATATTCACCAAACAATTTAGTTGAACATATTATTGAATTAAATCTTAGTTATTATGATTAACGTTTTTCAGCGTGGCATTATATGTTTAATGCATATAATGTTTAATGCATATAATGTTTATATATGGAAAGTATTATATGTTCTTTATGATTTTGTTCCTCTTTCTTATATTTTATCATAATTTTCAATAAAAATGAAATATATAAAGGATATACATTTTCTTTTCCTTTTTTTTAATATTATCCTGACATTTTATGGTATTAAAAGTAATATTATTTTCAGCACAAAGCAACATTAAATGTAATATTGACCAACCTTGTATTAATATTTGGTTGCATCATTTCTTTAATGTTCCGGAAAGTAACATTTTAAGATCAGAATAATATTCTTCTCACATTTACAAATGTTACTCAAATATTTTCCCTAATGTCATATTTAATATTGCTTTAATATTTTTGTGCTATGTGGGTAGTGACTCTAGTAGTGACATTAGGCGATTTTTGGCGTTCGTTTGGTACATGTACATGTACCAGGTTGTTATTGGGCAAGTTTACATCAAACATTTAATATATATATTAAAATTTATACAGCACAAATATTCAAAAGATCTTCCAGAGATATCCAGATATCTCTGCGACGTCTCTAGAATTATATTTTGGACATGTATACAGATATTTAGTACATATATTAAATGTTTAATGTAAATTAGGCCAATGACAACCAGATACATGTACCAAACGATCGCCAAAAATCGCCTATTAATATTACTAATTGTAACACTATTAATGCTGATAGTGACACTATTAGTATTAGCCAGTGATATTATTAGTGACACCAATAATGTCAGAAGTGAGACTACAAATGCCAATAGTGGCATTTTTATAATACGAGTATTATAAGTGACACTTGATGAGCTGATGTGTATATGTAAACTTTAGTATTGCTACCTACGAAAAAGATACGAAAAAATCCTCAGTTTTGAGTGTTAATACTCAAATTTAAGTGTTATCCCCAGTTTTTGGGTGTTTACACCAAAATTTGAAGGTTTTTTGCGTAAGGGTATAGAAAAACTATGAAAGATAATTCATTATTACAGGAAAATTCGTTTATAAGGTTATTAAATATTATTTTTCCTGTACAAAAATTTATTTTCTATGACAATTACATTTCTACCCAATTAGTAGACAATGTTTTTTAAACATTTTTTAAATATTTATTTTTTATTGATATTACATTGTACAGTTTATTGTAAAAATAATATTTAATTAATATTTATTAAACATTTATATAACATTTATTTAATGCTTATTTGACATTAAATAAAACGTTTAAAATAATATTTAAAGAAACGTTTATTTAATATTGATTTAATATTACATTGATTTGTATTACATTAATCAAACATTTAAAGTCCCAGCCAACACAGATTATCCCAGAATATACCGGAAAATATTATAATCGTTCTAGAGGGATATTTTGAAATAAATATTCTAATATTGTTATAGGAATATAAATCTTCTCTGTAATGGTACTTGGAATATTTGTAATTAAATAATATGTATTCTGTAGGAAATATTACCCGAATGTAATTTTTGAAATATTAAAAAATGTTGTATATTGGAATATTCGAAAAATAATCTTATATATCCAGCCAGCACATAATATTCGTGGAAAGACCTATAAATCGTCTTATACGAATATTATGAAATGAATATTCCAATATCATTATAGGAATATGAATCTTCTCTGTAATTTAACCTGGAATATTTATAATTGAATAATATTATGTTAATACGTTTTATGGAATATTCGACGAAAATGATTTTTCAAATATTCAAGAAACCTTGTATATTCGAATATTCGGAAAATAATCTTGTAAGCATATATGGTACGGGATACAACCATTTTTATATATTAAAAAGTTTGAAGGAGTTAATTGAAAATTTTTACTCTGTACTAAATTCGGTACATTAATAAAGAATACTTTGAAAGTGAATAAACTCTCAAAGCAAACGGCTTATGTACTATCATAATAGTCGTTCTCATCAGTTAATAGCAGTGGCTCAGCAGGTAAGGCGAGTTCCTCAAGAATTAAAAGTCTCAGATTCGAGTCCCACTGGAGTCAGCGATTTTTTCCAAGCAAATTATAACTGGAATTAATTAAATGGTACATTAATGGCACACCATTATGGAAAACACCATTGCAATAACTAGAGTCACATTAGCCACCACAACAAATATTTTAGGATTAAAGATCTTCCTTTTTATTTAACAACTTTTCTAACAAACTTTTTTCCCCGTGTAGAATATTTCTCGATCGAAGATTAAATCATGCATAGAATATTCTATGAATATATGTGGGAATATTCCCAAAGAATTACGAAATTTCGTAATTTTGCTGACAAGAAAACCAGAATAATTAAAGATTAGATAATGAATCAAATTGAAACTCTATTATAAAAAAAAAATTAACGTGACCACAGATAATATACAAAATATTACCTCAGTAATAACGATCTTTAATATAAAAAATTGAATCGAATTACAAATTATATAAGATAAACTTTAAATAAATTGCCTTCTATCGTCAATAGGTACCACAGTTGAATTATTTGAAATTATATTATATGTGGCTACTTCGCAAGCTAAAAAGAATAGACCTCAAATAAGACGTAGCCATAACCTAACAATAATGGGACAGCAAAACAATTTACCTGATAATAAATGACATTCATCTTGAATGATGTAATATTTTGCAAAAGTTATTTTTATCTCAAGTATGATGCACGTCAAAATAATATTACAAAAGAAATGGCATATGAACGCGTATAATATGATTCAACGGATTCATAAACTTGTATTTCTCTCTTCGCATTTTAATAAAGAATATTAATTTTTATTAAGTTAACTTTTACACAATTTTTATTAAGTTAACTTTTACACAATTTTTATTTGAGTATTATTTTTCTAGTAAACATCATCTCTTATCAACGACCAACAAAGTGAAAAACTAGAACGAGGCTATGGGATCTTTGGAAACAATATGTGGCATTGTTGTTGTAATTGTTGCTTTTTATTACTACTTGATATCAATCTTTGACTTTTGGAAGTCACGTGGCATCAGTGGTCCACAGCCAGTGGTACTGTTTGGTAATGTTAGAGATGTTATGTTTGGCAGAAAGGCCATGTGCGATTATTTGATGGAAATATATAATATCTATAAAGATAAGCCCATGATTGGTATATTCGTCAGAAGGACACCTGTTCTTATCGTGAAAGATCCAGATTTAATCAAGGATATTCTTATCAAAGATTTCTCCAACTTTGCAGAGAGAGGATTTACTACTCATGAGAAGGTATTGCTTTTAGTAATCATGCAATATATTCATTATAAATGCAAATGGAACGTCTGATGAGAGTTCTTCTGCGTCAAATGTTATGAGAATTTCAACAGCATATATTAGGTGGTGAGAATGATCACAACTCGTGAAGTTTACGATACCTCAGAGAAAATTTTTGTAATGTAACAAGTGTATGCGCGCAAGTGTATGTGTATATATGCAAGATCCATATTTGAAATCAAAAATTTTTTTTAGGCCGATCCCCTGTCGCAACACCTAGTCGCTTTGGAGCAGAAAAGGTGGAGACCTTTAAGGACAAAGCTGTCGCCTGTTTTCACATCTGGTAAGCTGAAGGAAATGTTTCCTCTAATATTAGAATGCTCCGAACATTTGGAACGATATGTGGAAGAATTGGCGAGCAGGAACGAGCCCATAGAATGCCGTGATTTGACAGCCAGATACACAACAGATGTTATCGGTAGCTGTGCTTTCGGTCTTGATACGAATTCTCTATCGGACGTGGATAGCGAATTTCTCCAAATGGGAAGAGAAGCATTTACTCCAAAATGGTACAATTTGATACGACTTAGGATCAAACAATCAACGCCATGGCTTTTCGATATTCTTGGTTACATTCTACCACAAACGAAGGTCACCAAGTTCTTCACACGCATTGTCATGGAGAATATCGATTATAGAGAAAAAAATAATATCGTTAGACACGATTTCGTTGATACATTACGTGAATTAAAAAGTCATCCGCACGAAATCGACATTGGTAAATACCCCGATTATTCACAGAACATTTATTTTTTTTTGTACTTCTTGAAACCGGACGGATAAGAAATATTTCTATGAACAAACAGAATTAAATCAGTTTGTTTCAGTTTGACAATGAGCAATCTTCTTCAATTTATTCCTTCTTAGTTATTCAAATTTGCAATTTTCGTAACTGTGTAAACATTGTGCTGTTCATAAAATGTTATAATCTTCTGAATTAATGGAGGAAAGATGATACATTTCAGAACTGACTGACAGTCTGATCGCTTCTCAAGCATTCATATTTTTTCTCGCCGGTTTTGAAACTTCATCGACGACTATGACCAATGCACTTTATGAATTGGCGCAGAATCATAAAATACAGGACACACTACGTGAAGAAATTAATCAAGAGTATGCAAAGAACGATGGTGTATTAACGTACGACAATATAAAAAAGATGGACTACTTGGACAAAGTTTTCAAAGGTATGTTCTCTCGAGAGAAAGGGAATTTAAAGAGGAAGTATGTACATATGCTGTTATTATTTAACACACGACAGCTTTGATGAGTCAAATTACTTTTATTTTATATATACATTTTAATGACTTATTTCTCATTATTATTTATATTTTATATGTAGAAACTTTACGAAAATATCCACCAGCAACGTTTTTAATGAGGCAATCGACATCGAGTTATACTTTTGATAGTATTAAAATTAATATACCGAAAGGCCAACCCATATGGATACCAGTTTATGCGATTCAACGAGATCCAAATATTTATCCGAATCCGAACGTTTTCGATCCAGAGAGATTCAAAGAGGAAGTAACCAGGAATGCGATGTTTTATCTTCCTTTTGGCGATGGGCCCAGGAAATGCATCGGTATGACGAGATAGATTCTCGAAGTACTTTTTTTCAACACAAAAGTAGATCAATCGTATGTTTAATAGTTTTTTATTATTTATAGGTTCACGCTTTGCTGTTTACCAGACTAAAATTGGACTCATAAAAATATTACGAAACTATAATATTGAAATTTGCGAGAAATCACAAATACCATACACAAATGATCCTAAAGCGTTTCTATTAACGCCAAAGGGTGGCATATATTTGAAAATAATCAAGATTAATGGAGTTTAATTTAAGTTTATACAATACACTATACTGCGATTGAAATAAATAATATAATTATACATTTCACTGTGTGACATCAAATTTTGCCAGCGAGAACGCTGACGTCGATTCGACATTTAATCGATGTCGGAGAAATCTAAGTTATGTCTAGTCTAAATGCAGGTCTAGAAAAATGGCAATTTAGACGTCTTCTATTTTGAGTAAATTTTAATGTTTTAGAATCCATTCATAATATATATTAAATATTAAAAGATAGTTTTCGATAAAATTTCGGGATTTTATTTTTTTGGTTATTTATAATCTCTCTAGATGTCTATTCGATATTGAATCGATGTCTAATATGTATCTTTTGCTTTACGCGTAAAAATGTTTTCATTTTTACTAAAGATTTGACTTGAGATACACAGGATATTTGTTTACTGATATTTTAAGACCTGCTATCCTGGCCATACCCCTTAATACGATATATCACAGTAATTTTACTATAATATTCTTTTCTTTCTATAAATTTCTTAATATTTTATTAATAAATTATACTTAATTTATTCATTAATAACATTTATAAATTTATAAATTAATAAAATTTATAAATTTATAAATTAATACATTTTAGGTCGTTTTTTTTTTTTACTAAAACGTAAAGATTTTTTTCTTTTATATAAAAGTAACGAGTGCTCTACTGCCTTGTAAATTTTGGCTCGTAATCGCTATTGCGCGCGTTTTGCATAAAAAATTTATTTTAAGTAGACGTCAGTTCTTTTTTTTTAGACTTCGTTTTAATTATAATATTACAAAGATACAAGTGTCAGATTATTCGAAAAACTGGATTAAACTGGAAGGAATGGTCGAAGTCATTTTGTAAAAACTATAGAGTAAAAGCACCAAAAGCGACATACCACTTTGTTTTTGGACGTTATGTCTTAATATAAAGCTCAAAATATAAATGTAAATATATATACATGTAGGAAGTACGTCCTATCAGATAATATCACATTTTTACTGAAATTGTTTCTATATTTAAAACAAAAAATGTTTTCGTAAAACGCAAAAAATGAAGGTCAAAGAAAATAGGTGCCAAAAGCGAAATACCTATTGGAATTTATATAACATGTAGCATATATGATACAATTTGATAATAAATAGTTCATTAATGCGTTTAATGGTTGAATATTATTCATTTATTCAAAATATAATGTTACAAAAGGGAAATATAATTAAATAAATACATAACTTTTTTCATCTTTTTTATTTTCTCACATATTTTACATGTTATATTTTTTTTAAACTAAATAAATTTAAACTTTAAAATAAACAAATGTCACGTCACCATGGGAGGTTAATAATTAAGTCATGTTAGTTATAGAGTACCGCACCTATCGTATACTGTAGGTTTGTTATTTTAAGACACATTCTCATAAAATTTTTTAAGTTATACATTGATGAAGGTGAAAATATTCAAAAGATATTTTTACAAAAGCCAAATGCATGTAGAAGAATTTAATATTGAACAAAATGATAATTATCACTATTTACTCTACGTAATTTGTCAATAAAAATCGAAGAAATAAAACTTATGAATTTCTAAAACTCGATATTTGCTAATTTAGCATATAAAGGAACAAGAAATATATCAAGTATGATTTTTTTTATGACTTAAATTTTTATGATAAAACGGATTATGTTTATATTAGTTTCATTAAAATACAACATTTAATATTTGAGATATAGAGATATGTCGCTTTGGGAGGCTTATGTCGCTTTTGGTAACTTTCCTTTATAAATTTTAGAGATATTAAATAAAATAGATAGACGAATCAACGCGTATATTTACTAGGTACGTTATAATATACTGTGAATACTATAAGTATACATTTTATAACTTGTTTTTTTTTTTTTTATAAATTGTAAGAACATTGTTGGAGTCATTGGAATCATCGCGTGCCGTTCGATCGTCAGATTAGGTTATAGGTTTGCCGAGTTTTTTTTTTTTGGTGAAGTTGTAGAGTATTGAATGAAGGTTGAGAATATAGGGGTGCAGTT